AMCCCCAAATTTCCGTAACCTCCATTATTCTCCCTCGATTTTCTTTCATTCCTCTGTCGGGCTTCTTCTTCCTCTGAAACCTCCGTTCATCTTCTCCGACATCGTCTATGTCTCCCTTCGTCTCCAGCGGCTCCGATTTTCTTTGTCGCTGAACATTTCATTTCGTCTTYGRCGGCTCCGATTTCCTCTGAAACCTCCGACTGCATGAGCATTTCATTAATTCATTTTGGATTATCCGATAGTTTTTATTTTTTGTTTAATTGAATAGAAAAAGAATCTGGATCTATTATTGCTACCATAAAAGATTAGTTGGTTTATACGAGTATATATTTCTGATTCCGTTTGTTTTAAATAATGTATATGTGGGGATATATATATATATATATATATATATATATATATATAGTGTTTAAAGTATGATATATATTATATCTCAAGTTTTATGTATCTGTATATTTACTGATGGTGATTTAAAATTAAGAATCTGGTGTATATATACCGTTAGTGATTTACATCTTGACTTTCTGATGTAAATCAATACATCCAGATAAATTTTATATCTCATAAAGTTTAGTCTATGTTATACGAATATATTGTATATTTAATATGTTATACTTAATACCCTGTCTTATAAAATTTCATGTAGATAATTTCATCTTGGGTATAAATTATATCTTACTTAAGAGGCGCTTATACAAATAGTAGATTTCAATAGTACAAGTAGATTATATTTTATAATAACGAAAAAAACATGAACATAATTTATACCTATATATAGATAAACGATGACTTTCTTCTCCTTTCAATATTGACGTCAATCAATACGTGCTTTCCGTTAATTATCTTATGTTAAAGGATAAATAACACCAAACAAAAATAATAGTTAGACATTTGGACCTCGAACACACAAGAAATAACTAAACTGTAATAACAAAATTGATTTCGTTAAAACAAAAACACAATAAAAGAATGTGAACGGCAGTAGTACCAACCTGAAATATTGAAGCAATAAACAAAATTAAAACCCAAAGAATGGCTACGTTGTGCCAACAATAATTAAGATTTGGATATTTTTTTAATTAATAATATTGGTAAATAAAGAAAATCAATTTGAAGGGGGTGAATTAAGAAATTTGAATTGAAAATTAATATGGGACCCACAATAATTAAAGGACGGTGAAAATTAAATCTTTTATATTTCAAAAAAGTAAATAAATAATAAATAGAGGTAAATTTGGAATTAAAATAAAATCAGAAATCTAAGTGTAAAATTATAAAAAATGTATATGTTTTCAAAAAGGTAAAATTCTCCACAATCTTTGATTTTCTCCACAAATATCTCACCACACATCTTTTTATTTTTAATCTAATATGAAAAAAAAATTAGCTGTTAAATTTTAAGAATTCAAATCAATTACTAATTGAAAACAAATTTAACTTCTAAATTTGAGGAATCAAGAAAATCATATTTAATCTTGACCCAAGATATTGTATAAATCCATATTTAATTAAAAAAAGGTCAAGATTCSATCAATTTCGACAAAATTTTGCATAAATATCTAGTATTTAATTTAGAAGGAGGGCGAATATTACATATACCCATGATAATAAAAAAAAAAACGAATTTGCAATCCTCTGGATTACATAATCCCCGCTCGGAATAAAATGATCTGGAATCGGGATAGCATAGTCGAGGTTGGTATAGAACAATCGCAAACTAAGATAGCACAAASATTGTATTTTTGGGGTGGCCACTGGCGGATGTGTTTTATATGTTTTTTATTTTCTAATTTTTTTTTGGATAAAAGAGTAAAGTAAAAGAACAACTTAAACTTGGGAAGTTGTTCAACAGTCAAGTTGAAAAATTGTTCTTCTACCGTAGATCTCCTTCTCTATTTTTTGCTCTCTTYGCATTATGAGGAGAATTTTGATTTTTTAAAAAACGAAGATATTTTAATAATTTTACCAGAGTAAAAAGTGAAAAATGTGGTAAAAAATAAGTTATGAAGAGGTTACCGATAAAATGTTTTAAAAAAGTGGTAAAAGATCCAAATAAAATTATAGAAGGATAAAAAATCCCAATTTTTCTTTTAATTTGTATACATTTGCTTCATATTTATGGACTATATATTGGACTTTTAATTTTATCTTTCCTTTTAAGTCTCAATTTTTGCTCTTTTTATAAAATTGAAAGTAGTGATTAGTTTTACAAAAACCTATTAATTTGGTATTACTCTTCCAATTTCTCTCATTGTAAATCGGGTGCCACCTGGGTCAGGGTCAGGGAGCAGGAAAAGTTCGACGTGGGCGGGCCAAGCGGTTCATGCTAGCCGCAAAGTGACGAAGCCGAAGCCGATATGATTTCTGGCTTCGGGTCCGAATATTTAATTGATTCGGAAAGTTAACGAACCAGGCGTCGTCCGAGATCGTATTTTTTTTTACGAGTTCTCCTATTTCCTTCGGCTACAGTTTACCAACACCGTCGTTTTCCGCCGCGGAAACCTCTGTTCTAAATTGACACATCCGTCTCTGAAATCTCTGCGAAGGCATTGGTCTTTTGTCCGACTCTGTACGGACCCATGGACGCTCGTGTTAAGGAGGAACTTGTAGAACCTTTACGTGTGGAAGGAACCAGCAAAAATCACGAAGCATCAAATGTGTTTCCCTCGTTTATTGATCTCAGTAGTGACAGCGAGTCGAATTCCGAAGATTCGGAGCAGGAAGTTGTCGACGGAATTTTAGGAGGAGTTACGAGAAGCGTTGGACTCTCGAACGGCGTTGATGGAGGGTTTTTGAAGAAGAGAAGGCTGAACGAGTTGGAGGTCGTTTTGCCTCTAGGTTTTCTTCCGCCCGCTCTGTTGGACGAAACGCATTCCCTGGCAGTTCAATTGCCCCCGTCAGAAGAGGCGGGTACTGGACAAGAGTCGAGTGAACCTCTGACTTCGAAGGCAAATGGTTCTGCCTGCAAGCAATTCTGGAAGGCAGGAGATTATGAAGGAGCTCCTTGCGGTAATTGGGACTCATCGTCGGGTATGTCATCGTACCATGCATTCTCACATTTAGTACCTTCATTCCGAACTCTGAAGATAAATCTAAAATTTAGCAAACTTTTGTGCATTCAGAATGCTATTTCTATTTGATTCTCAAATGTAATCAGGAATTTCCATGGCCGAAAACATTTCATTATTCTTGTTTTCCCTGATAAGTTTATATTCCCCGAGATTCCAAACTCTATGGCATTATCTAGAAAGGAGAGTTTGATCTTTTATGGAATAATCATTGTTCCGATTTGCCAATACTTAGGACTAAGGCATTCATATATATGGTAATAAAATTTTGTTGTTTWTGGGTATGATGAAGCAAATCTTAAGTCGATGTAAATAAATCTATTAGAACTGAGAAATCAATTCAAAGACCAGAGAAACCTCCATTGAAATAGAGCTCAAATATTCATATTGGTAAAAGTTCTCTAAAGTGACGAATATGAAAATGAAAATCCATTACTGAAAATTCTGTAGTTACCTTTTGAATTGATGGGTTGGTGGCGTTGTTATCTTTTTGAATTGATTGACCATGGTGTTGTTTTCACCTTGTATCTTATAGAATAAATCTAGTTAAGAGCTTAATTTGAAAGGAGCATGATCGTAGATGGGGTTGAAATGTAGGGGTAAATAAAGTGACGAATATGAAAATGATTGGTGACCCGGATGGGTAGATGGTTTCTGTAAAACCTGGATGGAGAAGACAATCATTGATAGACACTCCACTGTTGATATTGGCATTTCTGATCGTGGTTCATGGCTCTGTACCTTTCCAAGAACAACTGAGAGATTTGATACCAATGATGTAACGGATTTCAAGACACAATTAAAAGAAATCCATAAAAACAGGAAATTAATCCAAAGACTAGAGAAACCTCCATTAAAGAGAACTCAAATATTTGTATTACTTAAAAGTCCCCGAAAAAAAAAAAAAAGAAACTAGCAAATAAACCAAATGAGTGAAGTAGCGCTAACCACTAATCTAAAAACTACTCCATTTTGTTAACTATAATAAACTAATTTTTTATAAATAATTTCTAATTACATCTTAGGGCACCATTTTTTTTARTAGCCTTACAAAATGAAGAAACTAAAACTAGGAAATAAACAAAATTTGTTAAAATAACACAAGCTATTAATCTAGAACTATACTAATTAGGAACTACAATAAACTATATTTTTCAAAATAATTTCTAATTTATACCCTTCATCTGGGTGTTCTGTTCTCTAGCTTCTTGGAGATGCTTGGAGTTTGGATGAGAACTTTTGAATTATGCTCCTGCGCCAATTGTAGAGTTCTGTGACTCCTTTTGGTTTTTGGGAGAATAGATTGTTTTCAGAGTTTGTGTTCTTTTGGTAATTAAT